CGAGTGGCAGGCGGTACGCGCCCAGCTGTACGGCGCGGCGGGACCGAACCGAATGAGCTAGGGGACGCCACAAAGGCGATGGTGAGCGGGCCGGTTTCTGCGTGGCTAAGCCCCTGGACCGTGGCTGAGACGTCGGCCGCGTGAGTGGCTGGAGAAAGGTTGTTAGGTCAATACCTAACGGTTACAGTGTAGGGCCTGGTGGTGCAGGTGTTAGTGCTCATTGGGCAATCGGTGGGTTCGATTCACGCTTCCTGCGCAATTGTTTTATTGTAATTACGCTAATTACATGTCTTAGACACACGGTGTCTTAGCCACGACCGTGTCTCAGCCAGGGCCGTGTCTCAGCCAGGCCCCAAGGCGCTTAGTGGATCCGGGCGCTTATGAACGTCTAAGCCGGTGTGGCTAGTCCGGTGTAACATAATAAGTTCCCGTGTCTAGGCCGCCGAACTGAAACTCTTGGATGCTGAAGCTGCTCCCAGGCTGTTTCAAGATGTGCTCGCGCATGGTAGCAAACCTAAGAGAATGTCAGAGCATGAGCTGTTACCAAACGTCGCTGACGGGATGTCATTTCTCTGCAGCTTTTGCTTACCGACGCCTTTGAATGTGAACGGCGGTGGGTACTTGGAAGCGCAGTACGCTTTCAGGCCGTATTCCTGTGGCAATTCTTGTCAGATCACTGAGCGGCGCCCACGCGAAAAGTCGACTTACGATGAAGAGCTCAAGGGCAGCCTTGTCCCAGCTCTTGAACCCCCGTGCGGAAGAGTGCCATTCCAGCACATCCTTGCGACTACGCCATACGTCCGGCTTCAGCCAGAGAAGCTGCACGGGGACTGAGCTTATGTTATCCCGCTCTGGGCCTGCCGGAGCTACGGTTCCGTCCAAGAGGACGACGGACTCGATATTGAGTTGTGGCGCCAAGGCTGTCAGTAAGACTCTAATCCCGCTAGTCAGCAAGCTCCGAGGCGGATCTATTTGGTAACGGTTCCCGGCCACATAGAATGGGAGCTGAGGGCACAGGTCGACGGTGTGTGTTGTCTTGATCATAATGCGCTATAAGTTCACTACACTCCAATTTCAGCAGACTAAATGCAGGCCACGTAGCACTGCTGAAAGGGTCAGAGACGCAAGAAATAACGCGTTTCTAGCGCATGATTATGATTCTCATAATGCGACACAAAGAAGGCAGGCGACATTGAGACAAGCTCTGACAGATCTGACCGGCGACTGGAGGCCCGAACGCGTCCGTAGGCCAGCAGTGTCTCAAATCTCAGATCTCAGCGGCCTCAGACCTCATTATTTGAAGCGGCAAGGTTGCGGAGGAGGTGCTCGTCAACGGTTGAGCTCATATCACACTCGCCGGCCGCTACTTCCAGAAGAATTCCAGCGCGGTATGGCAGTTCATTTAGGACCTTGGTGTCGAGATCTTCGGGGCGCACTGAATTGAGTAGAGGTCGCTGTATTGGTCCTAAGGATGGAGATCGTCAAGCGAAAGCAAAATGCATCTGCGGGGGAATAATGCATGAGTAGACTTCTACACTCCAGATCCCTCACCGATGTCGAGGAGAGATCGCGCTTTGATTTTTCGAAATCTGCCGCGGTCTCGCTTGGCTAGCTCTGAAACTGCCACCACCAAATCTTGCATTTTGAGGTACACAAAAAAACCTCTCTCACGTAAGCTTAAATAATTATTCCTGGGACACGTCGTCTTATGCTAATGGCAAATTTGACGTGTAGCTGTCTTGTCAGGCTACAAGTACGGTGACAGAAGGTTTCAGAGCTTGGCAGCAGGAGTCCTTTCTGAAGACGCCTGGATAGCCTTCCACAGGGCACGCGCCGTAGCCTCCGGGCGTTGTTGAGGAAACTGAATACAGATGAGGTCATTAAAGTCTTCTTGCAAGTGCGAATCACTATGCAGACTAACCATATGGCTGGTATTTTCAACGTATTGGACGCTTGCAGCACCGCCGCGGTATTTTCCTTTCAGCAATGCTTGCTTTAACTTTGCGCCGCTGCAGAGTAAATTGCGATCATTGTCACCAGAGCGCTATACCAGTACCATGAACTAATACTCACCTGAACTCATCCTTTTCGCTCAAGATGACGTGCACAGGTGGACCATATGCATGGAGGTGCTGGAGCTGTTCCCAGGCTTCTTCCTGATGCGTTTTCGCGCGGTAGCAGGCCTTGAGATGTCAGTGCAATTAGTTGTTGTTAAACGCTACTGATAGGATTTTAGTTGGTCAACTGTTGCTTACCGCCTCGTAACTCTTGTTGCACGCAAGAGTGACGCCCTTGAACGTAAATGGTGGTGGGTACTTGGAGGCGGGATGCGCTTTCAGGCCGTATTCCTGTAACGATCTTAGTCACATTGCTGAGCTTAGCGCACACAGACATTTGACTTACGACGAAGAGCTCAAGGGCCGCTTTATCCCAGCTCTTGAATCCTGGTGCAGAAGAATGCCATCTCAGAGCGTCTTTCCGACTGCGCCACACGTCCGGCTTTGGCCAGACAAGCTGCGCGAGGATTATGTCCATGTGGTCCCGCTCTGGGCTTTTCGAGGCTATGGTTCCGTCCAAGAGGACGACGGACTCGATATGGAGTTGTGGCGTCAAGGCTGTAAGCAGGACTCTAATGCTACCTATAAGCATGCTGCACCTAACCGGGACATCAATGTGCGTACGCTGCATTTCCGCCCATCGAGTGCCCAGCGACGATGAACTTGTGCTCTGAGAGGTTCAGCCCGCTTGGGGAAGACGCCAGGAACGCGTGTACCGCGCGTGGATAGATCCATCCGTCCCCTACGCATCATTGAGCATTTTAAGAGAAAATTGAATAATGGGCTATTTATGCTTACACTCCTCAGTGCAGGTATGCTCGAGCTCTTTCTCATTGAGCACGGCGCTCTGGCCGTGATTTGGGCACTCTAGACACCCCTGCATCAGGTGTGATGACACGATCGACTCTGCAGAGAACCTACCAATCGCCCATGCCTCTCGAATGGTCCCTTGAGGTGCGCTGTGCTTCGACGACAGACCGAAAAGCAACTGAATAACAGGCTCCCAGGTTTCCTTGTGCAGCCCGGTAGCGTGCAATAGGATCAATGTGTATCCTACGTTCCGAGGCGGGTCTGTTTGGTAACGATTCCCTGTCGTATAGAATGGAAGCTGAGGGCGCAGGTCGATAGTATACGCTGTCTTGATCATGGTGTGCTGCAAGTTCACTGTGCCCTTTCACCAGACTAAATAGAGGCCACGTAGCGCTGCACTGCAGCCTGAAGAGTTGTCGAGGGGTAGGGATCGCATTCTCGGACGCATGCTCATGATGCGGAACAGAACGCAGTAGCGACGCTCCGATGCACCGGCTGTGATATGCGAGGCGTGCAGTGATGGGCCTGATGCATGGGAGATCGAAGCCGTGGTTCGCGGCGAAAGACGTCCTTAGCGGCCAACCAGAGCGCCGTCATGGTAGGCTGAGCGCCATAAGCATAGTCAATTCAGTACGTGTACACGCGAATGTATTCTATGGCTGCAGACCGCCATGCTATGGCCTCTACATGATGTCGCCTGCGACAAATTGGTATGATGGCGTAAAGAAAATACGGTTTCGTCATTGGAGACTTTGGAGTGCATGCTCGAGCCATATGATGCGCTCGGGATCCCGCTCACGTATGTCGCACACGAACGGCTTCGGGTGCCTGCGCCCGAGATGAACAAATTATCGCGAGTGATCAAACGGAAAAACGTTACTCACGACACATGGGCGTCTCCGAACTCAACGGGCGGGATAATCTCTTGGCCCTTGGCGTCCTTCGCCGGCACGATATCGAAAGCGAACAGAAGGTGGATGACGTTCAGGTACACAGAGGAGAGGGCGAGGAGGTATCCGGGGCAGGAGCTGTGGCATCTGATTTAGACGGATGCGTAGTACACCAAGAAAGGAGGGACGTACCGCCGACCAAAGCCAAATACTATCTCCAGCGGATCGTCTTGGGGCTGCTTCCCTTCGCCAATTTCGAACCGCTCCGGACTAAACAAGTCTGGATCTGGGTATCTTGTCTCGTCGTGCATGAATCCCCTTCAAGAGGTCCGACGTAATCAGGCTCACATTCAAAGGAATACCATCGCAGAAACGCACCACATATTTGCCATCACCCACGTCCCCTTCGGGATGAAGTATCCTTCGAAGAAATCGTCCTCTTGCAGACTATGAGGGACGAGAGGGACGGCGGGGTTGAAGCGGAACAGCTCCTTGATGACGCAGTTGACGTAGGGGAACATCTCGCAGTCTTGCATGCCCGGTACCCATGTACCTCCCGTTACGCGGTCAATTTCCTCCTGTGCCTTTTTCTGCACGCTGGGATTGCGCAGCATCAGGAGGATGAATGTGCATATCATGGCTGGGGTCTGATACAAGCGTCAGATATTGGATGTGTATAGAATGTACCGACGCCTGAGCTTACAGTGTCTGAACCGCCTGCGTCCGTGAAGAAAGTTATTGGATACGGAGCTACAGGACAGCGCGGTAGTATGATACGCACCAGAGTATATTGAGGTCGCAGCGTGGCGAATATCTTTCTCCTCTTGCGCGGTAAGAGGCTCAGTCTTCTCCAAGAGTTTCTCAGCGGTCCAGCATGCGGTAATGCGGCCTGCGGCCTGCAATATGTAAAAATCACCATTAATATATGGCAGATAATATAGCATACGATGTTGTTCTTGACGATTGTATACGGTAGCCAGGAGAACTCTTCCATACGGGCCTTCGCATATTTAGCCCAGCGTTTGAAGCCTGCACCAGGAAGCCATGCTGGAACGTGGCGCACTACGAACACAGTAAGTATAGTGGGGGCAAAAGCTAAGAGGACATACGCGATGGGAATGAATCTACTAGCCATTTACCGGGCTTGGTCGATTCGCTGGTGAGCCGTGCGAAGTCTTCGGCAAGGTGGACCAGAGGATCCTCTTTGTCTTTCACTTCGATGCCATAGAGAAGACGTATGATGAGAGATGTAGCCGTCCTGAAACGATTCGTCAGCGCTGATCGTGAAGTCGTGTCCGACTAGTCTCCGCACCATCTGGTCAGTTCGAGCACATCCGCGGGCGTGCGCCGCACGCTCAGCACAAATTTCAACGACTCGATTTCCTGTGCAGGCCAGTACTTAGACGCTATCTTCTGATTGAGGAATGTCGAAATGAGTCTGCGACTCTTTGTAAATTCAGGGCCGTAATTCATGAAGAGCATCGTGTCGCGCTTGATGATCTCCTGCGCCATCACCTAGCGAGTGTTGTAGAGCACTGTGTCCAAAATAACCATGATGTAGCGTACCATTCGCGGCCGATGAGAATACGTAGCCCCACGTTTATCAAAAAGCGCTTGGGCGAGTTCCAAAGAGTTGATCGCTACGAAGTGTCTGTTGATAATGCGCATATAATAGAGAGGACCTGGGATGTGAAATGTGAGCGCAAATACCAGAAAATCATTGGGAGGTGGCAACTCACCATAATAATGGGATTGAGCTGCAAACGACCTGGGGAGGTCTTTCCATGGTAATTGGAAGAGATTGCCCACCAAGGGCATCGCAGCTGGACCAGGAGGAAGATGTGCCCAGTTGCCGCGTTTACTGCGGCTGATTCCAGCAGCAATGAGAATAAACACCGCACTGAGCAACGCCAGGAGCGTCAGCAGGGTGAGATGTGGCAAGGGTATTAATTCTTGAAGAGACATGTCGAGAGCGGAGGGGAATACCGGAGGACAGTATACGCAGTTGCTCCCTACTCATGAGTTGTTCTATTTAAATACAAGGATTCCTCTGGCCTGAACATGAAAAAAAGTAGCGCAATGAACAAACATTGCCTGCGGTCAAAGATACAGACTGGCCGCCGCTCGTCCGGTCTTGGCCTAGCATGTAGCTCCATCACCTCTCTAACCTCACAGCATTTATCAGGGCCAACTGCCAAAGTAAGCGGCGGGCACTTACACGTCGCAGAACTGAAGCCTGATCAGGAGGGATCCATTAAGGCTGGCTGACAGATAGGCGTACTGCATCTCTGACGGCTCCGGCTGTGAAGTGAGCTACGGCACAGCGTTACGTACGAGGAACGAGAGCATCTGTACGTTTATACAGGCAAGTGGCATGTCAACAGTGCTCAAAGCAGCAGTATCCATATTAAAGTAATGATCTTTTGCCGAGATACATAGCCTGCGTTGATTCTGGGACAAGGTTGCTGTAAGGTTGGGATTCCGATGAGCGAAGCTATCGAGTTCCGATTCCCCTAGAATCGGGTTATGGACCGAACCGTGCACGCCCAAAAGTCATGTGACTATCAGCCATTGCACCCGAGCTTGCGCTAATGTGCCAGCCGGCGCCTATGAGTCTAATTCCCAAGGCACGAACAAACTTGTGTGCAGTAGGCTTGCGCCCGCCCCATCCGATTTCGCGAAGCTTTTTCCCAGACGTCGTCGCGAGCACGCAAGCGTGATACAATCCATTCGTACAGATTATATTGCCTATTATATATACTACATGATCAACCGTAATCAGTCTGTGACGGCTTTTCTTAGGGTACAGTTGCAGGACAAAATTTGCATAAATTGACTATTGATCATACAAGAGCATGGGAAGGAGGTGTCAGCAGCGTCGCTTTGGGTAGATAATGCAGGTGAGGAAAACATTGTAACATATGATGAGGAATACTATGACTGTGCGTCTCCTTCGTCGCAGCCGACCCACACGGTTTTCCATCGCTCACTCACAGCCTATGTAGTGCCGTCAGAGCCCCGGGTGCAATGGGTCCACCTGTGCAAGTGCACCCTGATTGCGCACAAGAGCTGTTTTCTGAACTGGATATGCAACGCACAGCAAGACGCCTCGCACTTGCTGCAGCTGCTCAACCACATCAACACCTTGGCGTAGTACTATTAGCAGAGCATGAACACGAATTGCTTATAGCACAGCAGGAGAGATAGCAGCATTGTATAAGGGCTATAA